AGCTGTGTTCTTAGGAATTTGCTCAGCTTGGATACAATGACGCTGAAACGTTAACTGCTCAGACCCCTGGCCCACTTCAGCTAAGGCCAAAGGTTCAGCCCCTACATCAGGTTCACTGTTCAGCCACATACAGCCTTGAACATGGGTCACCACCAGTTAAAAGAAACTACACTAAAGAGGCAGGTCAGAGAGAAGGACGTGAGACAAAGGTGTGGCATGGTGAGCAGAGTCAAGCATGTCCATGCCATTAAAGCTGAAAAAGCAGAGCCATTGCTAAGCCTCACTAAGTGGACACAGCAAATGGATAAAAAAAAGAATACAAAACTAACAATACAAAGCTAACGTCATCCCTCCTCAAGGAAAACGAATACTAAAGATAACGGGCATTTCCGCACAGCAGCAGAAAACCCACTGGATCCGAATCATTTGTGGGATCGCCTGAAAAACTTCCCCCAAATAATTTCGGAGTTGCCTACCGAGCCAAGTCACCATGCTAGGAATCCAATCAGGACCGTGGAAAGTAGCACACCAGCTTTACTTCCTACTTGGCGCCAAAAACCAATTTCCCACGTTCTCCCTGAAAGACTAAAATCAGACAGCTTCCATGGAAATGGAAAATCAGGCCAGACTCTGCTGAGAAAGGGTGGTAGCCTTTTAACAATTACCGGGGATAAGTCAACACCCAAACAACAGACTTCAGGCTGCAAGGCTACTGGATACATTTTATGGAGAATGTCAACACCGAACAAGACTCTTCTTGTGGAAACACTACCCTAGGTATTGCATAACTGCCTAATTCTTCCTTCAGTCCCATACTGGAAACATCTCTTATTGGATTGCTCTGGTTATCTGAATTCTCACCCTCAGCTGGGTCAGAAGGACTTGGAAAGAACCGCTTCTGGTTCCTTGAGGGGTGGCTCATCCCATAGTAGGTACTCAGTGTTTTGACTGGTTAAAATGAACAGGCAGAACACACACAACATACACGCTGAATTCCGATCAGAGGGAGTGGGTACAGAAACTAACTACACAAACGCCAAGTCTCTCAGCTTGCCAAATTGTCACTCTCAATGTAATATTAAGCACAGTTCTTTGTCTCTGAATTGTGAAATACTTTATATACTAATAAAGAATGTGTACTTCATTGTGTATTTAACTGCATAAGCCTGCATTTGGTTTAATTGAGCAAGAGTAAGTCCTTGTTCCTAAGCGAACTCTCAAGTTCCAGTCAACTCTTAAATATTAACACTAGTATTGAGGAACAAAGATGCAGATAATACAAAACAGATTATTTTAAATCATTCACTCTTGGTATGCAGATATATTCTTTTTTTTCTTTTCTTTTAACTTGCAATTAAATGCGTATGGCTGATGTTGTGGCATTCACAATACTTCTAACAAAGGACTTAAACCACGCTGGAAAAATCTGACTTTGAAAGTTCTCCATGTGCATCCTTCACTCACCGGCTCTGCTACTGAGTTTTGCACCAACTCAACATCGGTCCAGGACAGCATCACCTCTTAGAAGGTTGCCAAAAAAACTGGTTTAAAAAAAAAGGCAAACTACATTCTTCCCAGGTTGTTGCTTTCCAGAATCACACTTTCTGGAGGGTGGGAAAGTAATTAGGGTTTTGGGGCTGGAAAAGCCCTTTTATTTTAGCTCCTACTGGGCTGGTGTAAACAAAGATATCATTAATGTCAACAATGACTTAATTAACCAGAGTAGGTGACAAGAACTTAAAAGAGTCACCTCCTCCCCCAGGATAATCAAGCTTGACTACACTTTAAATAATTAGAATATTAATCAACGGAACAGTACTTGGCATTGAGGACTGCCCCCCCTTTGAGTCAATAACTGAATTTATAGCCTTCAGCCATTCCTCTACAACAATGAATGACCAACTGGAAATATTCTTTTTTTATCTGGGATATTAACTAAAATCTCCTAGAGATTATTTGCTTCTCAAGTCAGTTGAGTAGATCCAACCCTACTGTTTGTTACCACTTCATCGTGTCCAGAAGACAAATGGTATGTGACAGATGACGTGATAGGATGATATAGGGTAATATTGTACAAAGCCAAGAAGCCTGGAAAAGGATCCTCCAGTCTTAGGGCGCAGGCTTCTTCCTGGAACTTACTCGCATTTTTCCCTGGATACATTTTCCTCTGGTCCAGCCCAAGAGACCTCATCTAATCTGAGCCTCCGAATTAACAAACCAGAAAGTCTTCCAAGATGGGGCCTGGTGCGATAGAAGGTTAAGGTTGAATTTCTATTAACCAAAGCTATAGTTATACTAACCACGGAGGACAGCCTGGGACTAGCACACACTCATCCATCCATAGTTCCTCCTTCTCTCCCACCCTCCCTTTTTCCCCCCAGTTCGGCAAGGGGACCATGGCTTAAGCTGGAGCTGTCCCAATCAGTCAGTTGGCATCCAGTTAACTCCTTTTTCGTCTAGAATTAGATTAGATGACCTTCCTAATAACCTCTGACACCAAAGCTAAACTACCTGCAATGGAAGAATTCAAATCGGTTGCCAATATGGTACTGACCGACCAGGGCAGCCCAGATGCTCCAGAAAGCAAACACAGCCGCCTGGAATCACACAGGGCCTTCTCTGTGACACAGCAACTTCCTTCTCAACTGTCCCCAAAAGCCTCCACATTTCCTGACACTGTGGCACCCGGCAGGGCCAGCTCACACGGGACAGAGCAGACACGTGTGCCCATCTCATGGGCAACAAGGAGGCTATCATGTCCTGGATGCTCAGGAGGTACCAGGCCACGTGCCGACTGCTCTCTGCTCCCAGGATCGCTGAAATCTCCCGGTGACCTTCTAATGTAAGGAACCAGAAGCCTCCTGAGGACATTAATACACACTTAACATTAATCAAGACCTTCAAGGTCATCTTATCAAACCATCAGACAACAGAAAGGGAAACAGAGGGCAGGGGTTCGCATGCTTTTCCACCCCTCTGTTGGTCTGCACCTTCCATTTAAAACATCTCACAACCCTGGACACAAACTTCAAAGAAGCTGTGAGCCCAGAAAAATGCCTGAAACGACTTTGGCAAAGTATTTCTTATAATTTTGGGGAATTCGCGAACCACCCCACCCGAAACCCCAAGAGGATCCCCAGATCCCAGGTTGGGAAGACCTGCTTTCAACAATACTCCCATTGTTGGATATAAATTTTTACACAAAGAACCACTGGGGGCACTTTATCGCTGTCCATGGTTTCTTCCCCCTCTCTGCCCCACCTCTTTCTTCCTGCATATTTTAAACTGCCTTCAGTAATTAAGGACGAGAAAAGAAGTCCTCCAGGACCGTTTTACACTTTCTGTTGAGATAAACTGCCAAGAATATGCTGTCCTGAAAGTCGAAATGAAAAATGACAGTTTCTTCCTAACCTGGGCCATTCCGGGGCTCATCCGGTAGGAAATCCTGGCTCAGCTGCCTCACTGCGTGCTGAGCCATGCACTCAAGGGAAAACCAGCAATTAGGAAACACATCTATTTTAATTATTAGCAAAATTAAAGTAGTACAGGCCTGACTTTCAGAAACCAGGACCCTTTTCTCTCTCGTTAAGCCCTTTAGAAACACAATGCCTTTGCGAATCACACGCATGCTTACGTCACATCACAGGTCACAAGGAGCCTGTCCCCTATAAGTGCCACAGACACGAACTCTCACCAGACTCCCCCTCCCCGAGACGTAGAAGCCACTGTGACGTCACTGCACCTGTTCTCATGAGGCCTCCATGCCTCTCCATGAGACAGGGCACTGGCCTTCGGGTAAAATCCAGGACATTTTAGAAAAACTGTTGCCGTTACCTATCCTTTCATGACCCGTGCACAGGGTCCCACTGGGAGCCCCTCTCTCAGCGCAGTCATTTTGGGCAGGGACGCAGCCCTCCTTCCCATGTTATCCTGACCAGGCTCTCTGTCCTTTTCCAGTCTGTGGCACCGGGTGCTTTTCCAGAACAGCTGAGCTGACCCCAGACCACTCAGGACCACGGCAGGCCCCCAAAGCTAAGCAAGCACCAGGTGGGCTCTCAGCAAACAGGTTCATTAAGTGGCGATGAGTGCTGGGATCTGCCATTTTATTCTCGGATTACCACTCGAAAAATAACTCAGCTACCAATATTCCCGGCTGATGACAGATTTCAATGCCGCCCCAAGTGGAGGCTTGGCTACTGTCGTCTCGGAAGGACCCGGGAAAAAGGTTCCAGAACTGCCCAGCTGAGTAATGCGGCACCATTTAGTGTTCACAACTGGCTTTCTGCCTTTAAAATTAAATTTCCAAAGCTGAAACACCAGTGTGTGGCCTGTTTGACCTGGAAGTTCTCATAGAGGTGGGAGACACCCAGGTACCTTCACTTTCAAATTTACCTAAAATAGACTAGCAGCTTCTGTGACATATTGCTTAGGTATTAGGAATCACAAAGGCTTAAAAAAAAAAAAAAAAAAAAGGTAAAACGTCAAGCATCTCTGTGAACTCCAGAAGCTTCTTTTTCTCCTTAGACAATGAAAATAAAGCGTCAGCGTTTCAGATATTGGCAATTTCCCTCCGTGGCTCCTTTTGTCAGCAAACAGCCAATCCTTCACATCCTAGGCAAGACTCTCCCTCCAGTAAGAATGCTCCTGCTTGGAAGGCTCTAGATGGCATTCACCTACAGGCTCCCCTCCCACAGCTCTCCTGGGTCGCTGCCTCCTCCCTCGCCCAGCACAGAAAAACGCACACACCAAGAAACCACCAAACCGGACCATTCTGCCTGCAGTGTCACAGCAAGGAACCTTCTCTCGACATCTCGGACTTGGGGGGACGGGGTGCCAATCTCTGACCTGGGGGGAGCGGAGAGCCCACTCTCCTTGCTCTTGAAGACTCACTTACAATGCAAGGGCAGCTGATTCAAAAACAGGCCTTAACCTCAGCGCCACTTCCCCAGACACATCCCCCAACAAACTCGGTGCCCTGGAAGGTGAGACAAACAACTTACCTTCCGGCTCTAATGTGGTATCCTCCACTAAATTGAAGGAGGGCCGGGCCAGGGACAAGGTTGCCATGGTGACCGCGACCAGGCAGCCCCAGCGGGCCCAGCTGAGCACGGCTGTGGCCGTGCCAGTCCCCCGTCCTCTTCCATATCTCCATGTGGACGTCACTCCCATCTGCACACCTCGTCTTCGAGCATGGACTGCCAGCAATGCCTCCAGCCTGCGGCGCGTTCCGGAGCCAAGGTGCCGCCGAAGCCGCTGCAGCCCCTAGGGGAGACAGATGCAGCAAGTCAGTGCAATCCTTCCCGATGCCAATTCGTGGAAACCCAAGTGGGCTACAGCCTCTTCAAAGAGGCACCAACAGCTCCTCTGCATTATCTGCAAACGCCCTGCGTGGGCACCTCAGGGTCCCAGGTGTTCCTGCCAGACCGGTCCCCGACGAGCCGAGCCGGGCTGACCGTGAGGACGCACACTTCTAAGAACCGGAGATGAAAGAGTGGCTATGGGACACAGCTCTGTGCGGCCACTCTCTTCTGCCATCCACTGTCACCTCTACAGCCCTCAAAACACAGAAGCAACGTGCCCTTAGTTTCAAGGGCAAGTACAAAAGCAAGTTAACAGTGCCCGGGTCCTTGTTGACTTCTCTTAGGCCAACGGGGCTTTAGACAGCTGGATGGCGGAGGCGGCTGCGTGCACACTTATTTCTGGGGCCGCGGCTGAGCGGCTGGCTCCACCCTCACTGTAGTACTCGGCAAGAAAGGAGACCCGCAAAATAAAAGGAACCCCAGGAAGGCTACCAAAAAGCCCTCACCAGTTTACACTTGTCAGGATTCATTTTCCAATATGGAAATGTATTTCTCGATCTTGCGCCAAGCAGCCACTTACGGGAGAATGAAAGGAACGGCAAACACATTCAAAGCGGCGGATCCAAAAAGAGGTTCAAAGCCTGAATCCCCTTCCACTTCGACTACTGGCAGCCCCCTCCTGGTCAATGTCTTCAGCCCACACAGCGGACGCAAACTCTGAGGAATAACGCGGGTGTTGATTAACAATGATGGTGATATGTAAACTACTGTCATGGTATGTGATTGGACCAATAACTTGCAATATGCTAACCTATTGGCTAAAACTTCAGAAGTTACAGGGGGTGCTCCACTCACTGGTCTGTTCACCCATGTGACCCAAAGGCAAAGAGAATTGTCCAAGCTTAACTCTTCTAAATAACTTTAAATGTACTCATTATCCTCAATGACTAAGCGCAGAACCGAAATGCACAAACTTGAGAAAATCTGCAACGACCACAGATTCGGTGAACCAAATAAACGAACCACACTTTAAGGACTGGGGGTGAGGGCGAGACCTTTAATATAAAAATCTCTAAAGCCCGGGCTTTTGGCATGCCAACTTGATGTTTCAAACATGTCAAAGATTCAAAGATTTCAACACTGCCTGAGCCTCTCCAAAGCTACATCAGAAAAACTGTTCCTCTTAGCCTTGACGAAGGATTAAAACGGGAAAAGAGAATGCTGCAGTTCCTGAGACAGAAAAAGGAAAACCTCTGCTTCAAAAGAAAGCACGTACGAAACGGTGTGATTCACAGCAAAAGCAAGAAAAGCATGTGCCTGTGAGCACACCCTCTATTTTCAGGTTGCTTGAAGGATGTTTTCTCCCCCCTCGATCTTCTTTCCTCTTGAAGTTAAGAGCCTCAAAAGATAACTCGGTATCTATTTCTACATACGTGTGGGAGGAAAGTACACAAGCATTCTCATTGATTTACTAAGCATTTCCAGAATGCATGGGAATGTTCCTCCTCTGACACAACTTTAGGAACAATCTTAAATCCGAGCAGATTTCATCCCAGGCTGCTTCCCTGGCTTCATCACCCACCTGTCCCAGCCCAGAAGGGTTTCCTTTGCTCCAGGCAGAGAAAGCTGGCCAGGGACCTAAATCAGCTAAATCTCAGACCATTCATTCATCCCATCAGCTTGCACGAGAAGCCTGAATTTTAGCCATTACCAGGTCTAAGGCCCCAGGCCGCCCCCTGCCCAAATCTCTGGAACGCAGAGGCCTAAGGCAGCCCGTCTGCACAACCCCTCATCAGAGTGGACACAAGTGTGGAGGGACCTCCTAGGCAGGATAATTAGGTCCCGAGGCTCGGTGTTGGGAACACAGGCCCAGCAGGCTGCTGGCGGCCACAATCCCGGCTTCCTGCCTTCAATACCATAATCCTTCCTGGAGTCTGAGCCTCAGTGAAAGCCCCAGCATGTTTATTTTTCCCCTTGAAAGGGAACTCTCTTCTGGGCCCTGGGAAGAGCTGTCACCCTCCCTATGACGGACGGCTCTTCACGGCCACCCGCTCCCCGGGTCTGTTTTCACCTGGGCACAAGCCTGCCCCCAAAGTCAGGCAAAGTGACAAGCAAGAGAGCCTGACTGGCGAGTGGTCCCTATGCCAGGTTCGTGCTGGGCTCCTCAATTAACCAAAATATTCCCAATCCCCCCTACCCCACCCCCACGCTCCAAGAAGGCAAACCAACGCAGTGCCTACCTTAATTGAGCTTCTACCACTGAGTGGTTATCTGTCCTCTGCCGGCTCACCCATGCTGAGCACTTGGGCGCTTTGTTTCTGGTAGATTTTACATCAGGAAAGTCAACAGTGCCAGGCAAATTTGGGATGCCTGGGTTCCCCCCCCCCCCAGGGGGGCCGACCTATCTCTGAGCTCAAAGCCTCCCTACTGTTCCCCTTGTCTTCCGAGCTGAGTAATGGAGAGAGGTGGGGGGGGACAAGGGGGGGGGGGGGGGGGGGGGGGATAGAGAGGAAGTTCCTCAACAAACTGAAATCCCCAAAAACACAAAATAAGGCTGACCCAGGACGACAATCCATCCCCTGGTTAACGCTACCAAGCCAGTGAGAACTTGCAGCAGCTTTGGGGAACTCCTAACCACCTCCAGCCCGCTTCCATTGTAGCATTTCTTTCATTTATTTGCCTGGAATATCCTGTTTTTCTCCCCCTTCTTGGGGCGCTAAAGAGCTCAGAGAAATCTGCATTTTAATTGACATTCCAGGGAGAGGGGCGCCTGATTGCTTTTCTATTCAAACTAAACAGGCTTTTCAGATGAAAATGAGTCGCGGCCAGTGGAAGATTTACAGGGATTTGGGACCAGGGGGACAATGGGGTTTTAAATGTTGATAGCGTTTCACACCAAACACATAATGGGTGCCCCGAGTGTGAAAGCAGGTTTGCTTTCAAGGGTAGGTTTTACTGAATTGGGCCGGAGGAAGGCAGGCCCGTAGAAGGGTCTGGCAAGAGCCGGGCTTCGAGGGGAGCGGCGGCGATTGGGCGCGCCCGACCGGGACCCCTGAGCCCGGCCCTGTGGCCGCGAGGGTGGGAGCCAGCGCCTCGCAGGGCCCTGGGCTGACTCCCCGGCGCGGCCCCGGCGCTGAAAGAATGAGCGCGCAAGTTAGAACTCGCCTGCGCTTTCGACATCCCCGAGCTGCTGCCGGCTGAGCAGGCGGCGAGCTAGAAAAAGTCGGTCCAGTTCGCCCCCTAGCCCCGGCGCGCTGCGCTCCCTCCAGCACCGACGGCGGCAGCGGGAGAGGGGCGCCGGTTACTGAAATCGGGGAACACGAGCAGCCTCCTCCCCCAGGGTGCCACCCCCGAGCACAGCCAGCCCTACGGAGAGGTCGCCGGTCCCATCCAGCGGCTCCCTCCCGGGGAAGGGTCTCCACCGCCCGGCCTGGATGGGACAGGGCGCGCGCCCCCCGGGCCCCGGAATGAGGCACCCCGAAGATGCCCCTGCGAACCCCGGACCTGCGGGGCCAAGCCACGGGCGAGGCAGCCCCGCCACTCGCCCGACCGCCCTGGGGTCGGAGGATCGCGCCGGCCGGTGGGATGGCGCCGGCCGGAGTTTGACAGGGACCGGGTGTCAATGCCAGAAGCAGATGTCAGCATCTGGATGGGGGCGGTAAGTAGAGGCCGAGCTTCCCAAGCGGCCGCCGTCGGCACGCACCCCGCTCCCCCATCACCTATGCAGCCAAAGAGGGAGGACAGGGAACAGCCTCGACCGTGCCAGGCCCCCGCGCCCTCCGCTCGGGGGACGGTGCACCCGGCGTCCCGCACTCCCGCGGCGCCAGCTTCCCCGGCTGGCGAGGCTCCCCGAAGCACCCGACACGGCGATTACCTTGAATGGCAACGCTCCTCGGCCGCCGGTCTGTCCCCGCGCCCGGCGTGAGTCGGGATGGAGCAAGCGACGAACTCGGGGAAACTCCAAAACAGAGTGGTCCTCGGGTCCTGCCTGCGCCAAGGCTCCGAGGCTTCAGGCGCGCCCCAGGCTGAGGAGGAGCGCGGGCATGACGCCCGCCGGCTGCCCTCGGGTTTGCGGAGCGAGGGGAAGAAAGGACTCAGGCTCGGCGTCTCCTCCACCAAACTTTGCTCGCAACTTGCGAACGCACAGGGCGCCCTGGAAAGCCGCGGCCTCGGGGCGCCCGGGCCCCGCCAGCCCGGAGAGCAGTCGCCGCGCCAGGCCAGCTACGCCGCGCGCACACCCCGCGGCGCCCGAGCTTTGTGGCGGCCGCGCTCGCTCGCTCGCCCGCTCTGCACCCGCCGCCCTCCCGCTCGGCTCTCCGCGGCGCTCTCCGCCGCCGCCGCCGCCGCCGCCCGAGCCGCCGCCGCCCGAGCCGCCGCCGCCCCCTCCCCGCGGGTCACGCCCCCGCTGAAACCCGAGCCGTTTCCTGGACGGCGGCGCCGGCTCTGCCAATCAGCGCCGCGCGCCCGGCTGCCCGGACTCCGCGCGGCTCCCGACGCCCGCGAGCTGCCCGAGACCCCGGCCACCCCCGGCCCGGAGAGGTACGGCGACGGTCTCGCCCCGCGCCACCGCCCCCTTCCTTCCCTGGGGGCTTAGGCAGACGGCTCGCCGGCTGATCGCTGATCGCGTTGCGTTTAGTTCAAGTCAGTAAAACAAATGACGGACTGCCTGCCCTACCCCTGAAGCGACTGCACTGGGGCGGGGGGCTGGTTAATGCAAGTGAAACTTCTGGAGGAGAATGTCCTGCAAAACAATAGCGGTGAGAGAAGAAACCAGTATCTATGGAGGCCCTACTCTGGACAGGGCACACCGAACACGTTCTTTTTCCTCGGCATCACCGCCCTGCAGAAAGTAATATTGCCAGTTTCTGATAAGGAAACAGGAGGAGAGAGGTTAAGCAATTTGTCCAGGGCCACACAGCCGCTTATTGGCAGAGCCTGACTTTGAATCTGGCCTCTCCTAGAGAAAGTCAAAAACGGCAACGACAAAAAATGTGTTGTTTAGTAATATATATCTGGAGTAATAAAAAGAAATTGGAAAGATTCTAAAGACAACTCCGCTATAAATAGCTATGTGGCCTTGAGCAAAGCAGTTCCTCCTTCTGAATCTTAAATTCTTCAACCGCAAAATCAGATTCTAAAACTGAATGCCAGGCTGCAACTGGTTAAAGTTCGTATTTTCCATTTACCTTTCTCCGGAGGCTGTGTCTACGGGATAATTTATTTTTTAATATACTTTCTCTCCTCCTCACTCATCCAGGTCCTAAGCTTTTGTGCTTAAGTCCAAGACAACATAGATAAAAACCTTAATTATTTTTCCTTAGAAAAGGTCATTAAACCCCGAAGTGCTTCAAAATGCTTTTGAGGCCTGAAGATAGATGGAGCAGTGAGTACAAAACTGACCTGGAGAATCGACTTTTCCAGCATTTAGAAATGCAGTTGCTCCTGGGTCACCAACATAGCACACTTCAATAACATTTACGAAAAAAAATTTTTTTGAAGGTGCCACACATCATGAGAAAATCATTTTGCTTCACAATACATCACAGAAAACTTTTATGTAAATAACTTACATGCTGGGAGTATCAAATCCATTGACATGCTTCAGGCAAATGGCTGTGAAATTCTATTTTGGAAATTTGACCGCAAAAAGAATAGATTCTCAAGCCAAATGATTGGTCCATATGCTTGGGTGTGTTTTTGGTCAAGTCTTTTTTTTTAGTTTTATTTATTTATTTATTTGACGGACAGAGAGGGAACAGAAGCAGGGAGACTGGGAGAGGGAGAAGCAGGCTTCCATGCGGGTCTCAATGCAGAGCTCCATCCCAGAACCCTGGGACCATAACCTGAGCCGAAGGCAGACGCTTAACGACTGAGCCACCCAGGTGCTCCTTTGGTCAAGTCTTAACCTGGATCAGTCCTAAGGCCTTTCATGAACTGACACCTCAGCGGTCCACTCACACCTGGATGGTTCTGAACACACCAATACCTTTTCCAAGTCCTCAGACCTGTGATCATAAAAAGAGAGGTGCCTGCATGTCTGCCTCCTCGGGCCCTGGCACTTAATATCTTTATATTCCCCACCAATGGGAGACTCAAGTGTCTCAGGACGGATCCCCTTCCCATCCTGCAACATATCGGTCAGCCATTGAGAATGCTGTTAGCACGTTCTCACATAAATTACTGGTGCAGGAAGCCACCGTCCCTAACTCCATTCATCAACAGCTTGATGTACACTGAATAAAAAGGCAGGCTTCCACTGAAAATGACAAATCAGAACACCTACTTTCATGACCAGATGCAGTTTGCAGAATTTATTCTTTACAGGGCTGAAAAGACACCCATCCATCACAAGACCCTTATTCCCCTAGAGTGTTCCTTTTTTAAGGGAGCAAAGCCCACAGGCCCACAGCAGCAACCTTCTTCAGTTCTGAAAGAAGCAAAAGCATGTTTGGAATTTTTTTTTTTTTTTTTTTTTACAAAAACCGATTCTGTCATCATATTTAGGCTTCAAGTGACCTCAGAGGGTCTAGGAAAGCTTTCACACCAGTGAGGCTTCTGAATGAGAAAATAATCTCTGGACAGTTTTTTTTCTCTTCCCTCTTCAAGTGGCTGGAACCCCTTTTGTCAATGGCCTCCCGTGAATGGTGTTGCTAATAAGCCTATTAATGAGCTTCCCCGGCCGAGTGTGAATAGGTAAATAAGCCCCAATCTGTTGAGGTTCAGGGCCGAGGGCAGAAAAGCCAGCAAGAACTAAAGGTGACAGTTTGCACTGAACTACCAGCGCCAGCACCAGGTTTCTGCTGAAAGAACCGCCAGACAAGGCCACATTCACCACCCCTCCGCCCCCCACTGGGGGCCCTTTTCTTCACAATTTTCCCCCCTTCACAAAATGTCTTGAGTAGCCACCTTTTTTTTTTTTTTTCAAAAGCCCTCGAGACGCCCTTCTTTCTTTCACTCTAGTAATGATACATCAATGGAAGGAAGAAAAATGAGGACACCAGAACTCCCTTGCCCTATGACTTTCAAGAAACAAATTGTGTCGCTGGCCCATCGGTGATTGGAGGGGAGGGGAGGAGAGGGGAGGGTGTGGTGGGAGCCCTCGTAGCCACGGGCCTTTCTCCTCGAAAGATTCAGAATTTTTTTTAATAATTCGTTTTTTAATGGGTGGCTATTCCTTCACCCTATAGAAAAGTTAGATGAATAAAGGCCGCTGCCGTTAAGTGCTAATGAGCCCTTCTAATGTTGTTCTGAGCTCCCTACAAAACTATGAATCTCATTCTTTAGGCTACATCTCAATAATGTCCGGAGCATAAAAGAAGCGTTTGAAAGGCGAAATATAGAAGAGTCCAAGGACTGTGGTTAGCCTAGTTAACTCCTGGGATGAGGGGAGGGGCCCCATCCTCTGACAGCTCCGTCCCATCTTCAGGGAGTTTAGGGCATTTAACTGAAGCGACATCATAAATCCCAGCGCCACACATGGAACATCCAAGACGATGCTAAACTTAGAATGGAATCTCAAAGCCAGGACGTCCCTGGAGACAAAGTCCTTCCAGAATTCCTGCCTTGCTTTGAGGCGAAGGGGCTTTGGTTCCAACAGGCAAGGTGTGGCTCTCTTCACTCAATGGCTGTGTGGCCTCGGGCAGGTTACTTAAATTCTCTGGGTTTTCCATTTTCTCAGATAAATGAGGACAATCATGGTACCTATCTTGTAGTCATTTAATAGGGTCACTAAGAAGATTAAGTGAATGAAAGTGTGACAAAACCTGTTTTTATCCAGATACTCCTCATGGTTCTGGAAATGCAATGTTGTCTGCTATGATTATTATTAGCCGTTCTTAATATTCCTACCCGCTGGGTCTATTGGAAGGATCCAAGTGTTTCAGTGAAGAGCCTAGAACCAACTGGCACCACCCAGATATTATTATGGACCTGGTTTTAACAGAGTCTGGAGCCAGGACTTCTGAATTCCCCGTGCCCACCCTCTGCCCCAGCTGAAGGACCTGGTGATGCCTACCCAAAGCCCACCTGAGATGGAATGTCGCCTGTGCAGGCAGCCTGAGTCATACAAATGATTATCCAAATGGAAGGCAACGCAGTGCTTATTGGTACCCACTGCTCCCCGGCAGCAGTCCCTGGCGGTGGCAAGAGAGGCAGGGGTAAGTTCAGATAGAAGTTATTTTAGCACTGGTGAACAATTCAGCCCCAAAGAAAGAATTTTTTTTTACAAACATGAGAAGCACCGGAATTAAAATTGCCACTATGTTCTGCTCTTGCGGTTTATCGGATTTCCAAGTGGCTTAAGTGACCTGCATAAGTCTTCCTAAGGAGACTAGACCCAAAGGTGAGGAAGTGTGTGTTAAAACATCATGCTGACACCCCACATTTGACAGGGGAGGGGAGTGGAGCACAGAGAGGGGAAGTGGTGGGCTCAAGGTCACACCACGGGTTAAGGGCAGGGAAGCCAAAAGTCTGGTCTCCTGATGGGGCTGGGATTCATTCTGGTGGCCACCAGAGCAAGTCACCCATTTTCACCTATCCATGCCACCTGAGGGATCCTTATAGGTGGTTCAACTCAGTGCAGAGTTGAAACATGTCGAGTAGAATTCATTGCCTCCCCAAATGTTAATATTTCAAGAGAACAGTTGTCCACTCACCATGGGTTCATCCTACTTCTTCAAGTGCTCCAAGAATTTGGTGAGGGTCGTTGTTGCTGTCAATGTTTCCAAGAACCTTCAAGTTCAGGTACATAAGATTGTTAGACCTCTTTCACGTACCTACAGTTCATCAGCTGAATTTGTAGTCTTCAAAATAGGGGAAGAGGTAAGGGCCAACGTTTGTGGTTCATAAAATGACTCTTAACAGCGATATAATGAAAACAAATAGAAATGGACAATTCTGAAGAATTGTGTTTGAGAAATTAAGGCTTAAAAATCTGCTACACGTTTGCTATTTAAAACTGGGCAACCAGGTCTGTCACTCAAAAGGCAATGAACAGGCAATTCGACCCCATTCTGGTTCAAGAAAAGCAAAAATTGCTATAAAAGTAGTAGGAGGGGGAATAATTGGGGAAATTTTACTCTGGCCTCAACACTATCCCTTCCACCACCACCACCACCACCACCACCACCACCACCCCCACCGCTG